CTCTCTCCCCCCCTCTCTCTCTCCTCACCTGGAGAAAGAGGGGGGGAGGGAGGGAGAGGAAAGACAGAGGGAAAGGGGAAAGAGAAAAAGAGAGAGAGAAAGAGGAAAGAGAGAGAGAGGAAGCTCAAGTGCCTCTCTCTCCCCCCCTCTCTCTCTCCTCACCTGGAGAAAGAATGGGGGAGGGAGGGAGAGGAAAGAGAGGGAGAGGGGAAAGAGAAAGAGAGAGAGAAAGAGAGGAAAGAGAGAGAGAGGAAGCACAAATGCCTCTCTCTCCCCCTCTCTTTCTCTCTCCTCACCTGGAGAAAGAAGGGGAGGGAGGGAGAGGAAAGAGAGGGAGAGGGGAAAGAGAAAAAGAGAGAGAAAGAGAGGAAAGAGAGAGAGAGGAAGTGCAAGTGCCTCTCTCCCCCCCTCTCTTTCTCTCTCCTCACCTGGAGAAAGAAGGGGGGAGGGAGGGAGAGGAAAGAGAGGGAGAGGGGAAAGAGAAAAAGAGAGAGAAAGAGAGGAAAGAGAGAGAGAGGAAGTGCAAGTGCCTCTCTCCCCCCCTCTCTTTCTCTCTCCTCACCTGGAGAAAGAAGGGGGGAGGGAGGGAGAGGAAAGAGAGGGAGAGGGGAAAGAGAAAAAGAGAGAGAAAGAGAGAGAGAGAGAGGAAGTGCAAGTGCCTCTCTCTCCCCCTCTCTTTCTCTCTCCTCACCTGGAGAAAGAAGGGGGGAGGGAGGGAGAGGAAAGAGAAAAAGATAGAGAGAAAGAGAGAGGAAAGAGAGGAAGTGCAAGTGCCTCTCTCCCCCCCCCCTCTCTCTCTCCTCACCTGGAGAAAGAAGGGGAGAGGGAGGGAGAGGAAATTCTTAGTTCCTGCATCGTGGTTTGTTCTTATGCCCTTTTTATATTCCTTTTTGCATCTTAAATTTCACTTGTAATTCAATCATTAAATGTTACTGTTGGGGGGGCATTTCACTTTCTTGCAATTGAATTTTGTTTTCAGTGGTCATTACATTTAAGTGTCTTGAATAAATAAGATAATAATGAAATACATGTATCACGAAGTTTGGGAATAAAGTGATGGATGGCACCAAAATTTTTCACACAGTTGAGATATGGGAAAAAGACTGGAAATAAATTATTTGCATTGATATGTCCTGATGACAATTTTAAAGAAAACAAAAAAAGTGTTTGCATAAATTGAAGAATTATTTCCTATGTTGTGATTGAGAGGTTATGTTGGGGGAGGGGGGCGATGACAACTTCCTCATTGGCTCAAGGGGGCGATTCGTTCAAAAAGGTTAAGAACCACTGGACTAGAGGACCTCCAAGGTGCCATCCAACTCTGATAATCTGTCCTGTTTCTAAGGCGGCGCTTCTCAACTTTGACACGCTGGTTGGGGAATTCTCCAAGTTGAAGTCCACCTATCTTCAAGTCGCCACAGTTGAAAAACGCTGTTGTACATCTACAACAGCTATGGCAGGGGAGCAGCAAGTGCTGAGGTTTTGGTAGCAGATCAAATCAAATCAAATCAACAGCTACAGGGTGGCAATTAATCCAGGGATTGGCAATTAATTTTCCCAAGGGGCTATCGGAGAAACTGCCGTGATTCCCTTAATGACCATGGGAAAAATCGAGTTTAGTCACAGGAGGACTCACTTCATGACCGCATCCCTTAGCAAGCAAAATTTCGGTCCCAGTTGTAGCCAATAATCAAAGAACTACCTTTATAGTTAACAATCTGTTCCATTCCTTCCCACAGCGGGAAATTTTGAGCAAGATCCGTTCTCACTGGGAAGCCGCTTTGCTTCGCAACCTGACGAAGCTCAAGAAGCAAGAGAACATTTGGCGCACCTCCAAACTAGACCTGTACCCCTTTCTTTGCGTGCTGACCAAAGAGGAATACGTAGATCTGATGATGCAGGTAAGTGGAGAGGACTGATTATTTGTAACTCGGGGTTGAACAGCGGGGTCCTCAGTGCTCTCGGAGCTGAGATGGTTTCCTTCCAGACGTTTCATGACCCAACTAGGGAACATCATCAGTGCTAGCAGCGAGTGGAGTTTGCTCTTTGTTTATATATATATATATATATATATATATATATATATATATATATATATATATATATATATATATATATATATATATATATATATATATATATATATATATAGTGACTTGCTGCTTCTGAGTATTGGTGGGAGCGGTCTTGCATAAGTTGTATTAGTTGCCCCTTTGTGACTTCCACCCTTGTGCAAAGAGAGGTGGTCGGGCTGTTTCTCTGGAGGAATGCTGGACCACTGGGCCGAGCTCCCTGTGGAGGTAATGGTGTCTCCCCCCCACCTTTGGTTTCTATTCTTATTGTAAACAGGAATTTCAGTTAATTTAGGGTAGTGATGGCGAACCTTTTAGAGATCGAGTGCCCAAACCACAACCCCAAACTCACTTTATTTATTGCAAAGTGCCAGGGCCGCATCAGCATTGTGGTGCCCTTAGGGGGGGCGTGGGGGCGAGGCCCACTGGGTGGGCGTGGCCCCTCACTGGGCATGGCTGCGGTTGTCACGGCAGACTGGGCGTGCATGGCTGGGGTGGGCATGGCTGCCTCAATGTTGCTCATGGGAGGGACGCCTGTGGGGGCCGGGCAGGGTTGGGGGAGATCCAGGGGGTCTCTGATGGGTGGGATGGTGGGCAGGAGGCCCAGCATAGATGGGGAGGAGGCACGCAATCCTAGCTGGGACTGGGGGGCCATGGCGCCGATGGGGATCCGGCTTTCCCTGCTTGGGGTGGCCTTTGGCTTGCTGGGTGTGGATGTGCTCTACCACCTCTACTCAAGCTTGCTAGCTGGCTGCTTCGCCTCCTTTGTGCTGGGTGGGGCTGCCGCTCCGGGCGGCGGTGGCAGCGGCCTAATGGACCTGCACAAGCTGTTGGCAACGGCGGCACGTGTGCCCACAGAGAGGGTTGTGAGTGCCACCTGTAGCACGCGTGCCATAGGTTCGCCACCACTGATTTAGGGTAAGCCTGCATTTGAGTAATAGGTCATACAGTAATTTATTGTTTTTTAATGTTTTAATGGTTTTTTTGGTATAGATTTTATTAGTTTTTATAGGGTTAGGAGTAAGGTAGGGTCGGGATTAGGGTTAGGGTTAGGGTTGGGGTTGGGGTTGGGGTTTTTCCAAATAACATTTTCAATATTTAGCAAACAGCATAATGTCTGGGTACCTGTATTTAACTATCAATAATAGATATAGTTAATTATCATAAACAATATGTTAATTCAGTGATGGCGAACCTTTTAGAGACTGAGTGCCCAAAAACTGCCCCAGCCCCCCACTCCACCCCCTGCCCTGCCCCTGCTCTATCCCCATCCCGCCTGCCCGCAGGGCCACTCACCACCTCCTGGGCCCGCCGCAGATTGCCCAGCAGCGCCATGGCAGCCACGCCCTCTGTCCGCACCCCGCAGCATCAACTGTGCACGATGGGGTGTGAGAGCAGAGTCTTGTCTACGCTGTCTGGCTGCCATGTCCTTGGCTGCACTGCTCCGCGTGGGCCACGCTCGGGGGGCGACTCTCCTCCAGGGGGGCTGCTGGTGAGGAGGGAGGCAAGGCTGGGGCAACGGCACGTGTGCCCACAGAGAGGGCTCCGAGTGCCGCCTCTGGCACCCGTGCCATAGGTTTGCCACCACTGTGTTAATTCATCACTCAATAGCCTTCTTCTTACTAATATAAATTCAGAATTACATATCACATTCCTTTCTCTCTGAGAATGTTTTTTTAAATTTGCTTTAATTGCTTTGGTTGAGTTGGGGTGGCTATGGAAAATGAATGAATGAATGAATGAAAAATGAATGAATGAATGAAAAATGAGTGAGTGAGTGAGTGAGTGAGTGAGTGAGTGAGGCACAGTAGTAAAAATGCAGTATTGTAGGCTAACTCTGCCCATTGCCAGCAGTTCGATCCTGACTGGCTCAAGGATGGCTGAGCTTTCCATCCTTCCGAGCTCTGTAAAACGAGGACCCAGATTGTTGGGGACAACATGCCGACTCTGTAAACTACTTAGAGAGGGCTGTAAAGCGTTATGAAGCGGTATATAAGTCTAAGTGCTATTGCCATAGCTAAATAATAAAAACGCTAACTAATAAAGTAAAACTGAAACAAAAATAGAACGATGCCTCTAACTTTTTTTTTTTTTTTAAATTAAAATTGCTACGGGTCGTATCTTGAGTCTCTTAAGTTAAACAAGTCTTTGTTTTCTTTTCAGACGGTTTTCAGCCTGCCGGCCCTTGGGGAATGCGTCACCATCTTAGCCAAGGATCTGGGTACTAGAATCTACAATAAATACACTATTGTTAGAAAAAGCTGCACCATTTCGGAGGACAATTTTGAGAAGACCTATGATAGCTACGTCCAGCTTTTGGCCAGAGATAATCAGGTATCTAACTTCAATTGCCTTAGGTGACCTTTAACTAGACCATAGTTTGGCAACCTTGGCTCTTTTATGACTCGTGGACTTCAACACCCAGAATTCCTGAGCCAGCATGGCTTAGCTTGGAAACCTCTCCCTGTCCCCTCAGCATGGCTGGCTCAGGAATTCTGGGAGTTGAAGTCCACGAGTCATAAAAGAGCCAAGGTTGCCTACCCCCGGACTAGAACATCTCTAGTTTCTTGATCGGCCAGGATTTTTTTGGGTTCCAACAACTCAGGGCTATATTGGGCTAAAACTAGATTCTTCAGAATTCCTTCCTAGGGTTGACCTGGAGGAGATGTTTTCAATCTTTTTCAGCTCGTGGAACCTGTTAGTTGTTTTAAATAAAAAATAAAAAAAATCCTGAATACTCCTCAACAAGAAATAAAGCACTAGTGATTAGAAAACTGGCAATGTAACGTAAACTAAACCATTTAACGTAAAATACAAAATTAATATTTCCAACCTACGAAAATTAAACAGGTATTTCAAGTTGTTTTAGAGCAATGATGGCGAACCTTTTAGAGACCGAGTGCCCAAAAACTGGCCCCTGCTCCACCCCCAGCCCCACCCCGCCTGCCCGCAGGGCCACTCACCGCCTCCAGGACCCACTGCAGATTGCCCAGGCAGTCCAGCAGTGCCATGGTGGCCACGCCCTGCAGCATCAACTGTGCGCGATGGGGCGTGAGGGCAGAGTCTTGTCTACACTGCCTGGCTGCCATGTCCTTGGCTGCGCTGCTCCGTCTGGGCCACGCTTGGGGGCGACTCTCCTCCAGGGGGGCTGCTGGTGAGGAGGGGGTCACGGGGGGAAGCGAGGCTGCGGCAATGGCACGTGTGCCCTCACAGTGGGCTCCGAGTGCCGTCTCTGGCACCCGTGCCACAGGTTCGCCACCACTGTTTTAGAGGTTAACATTTTAACCAAACCTTTCCAGTTGGTAAACTGCCAACTTAGCAGTTTGAAAGCATGCAAATGTGAGTAGATAAATAGGTACCAGTCGAGCGGGAAGGCAACAGTGCTCTGTGACGTCATGCTGGCCACATGACCGCGGAAATGTTTTTGGGCAGTGCTGGCTCAGTGACCTTGAAACAAAGATGGCCCATGGAGTCAGCAACGACAAGCGGAGTAAAATCCGCAGGGACTCCTTATATTGCATAAGACAGGGGGTCTTCAAACTTGGCCACTTTAAGACTTGTGGACTTCGACTCCCAGAATTCTGAGAGTTGAAGTCCACAAGTCTTAAAGTGGCCAAGTTTGAAAACCCCTGGCATAAGAGCTAAGACCAAGGAGACGGCAGCACCAAGGGTGAAGTCTTCTTATCCCGTCAACCATCTCCAGCAAGCTGAGTAAGCAATGCAGCCTGTGAATCCAAACAAGGTTGGGCAGAGAGAGCCGTGGTGGCGCAGTAGTTAAAAGTGCAGCATTGCCGGCTAACTCTGTTCACAGCCAGGAGTTCGATCCTGACCAGTTCAAGATGGATTCGGCCTTCCATCCTTCCGAGGTGGGTAAAATGAGGACCCCGATGGTTGAGAGGCAAAGAGATTGACTCTGTAAACCGCCTAGAGAGGGCTGTGAAGCACTGTGAAGAGGTACATACGTCTAAGGCAGGGGTCTTCAAACTTGGCCCTTTTATGAGTTGTGGACTTCAACTTCCAGAATTCCTCAGCCAGGCACTCTGGCTGAGGAATTGTGGGAGTTGAAGTCCACAAGTCATAAAAGGGCCAAGTTTGAAGACCCCCTAGTCTGGATCCAAGCCCGCAGTTTCATCAAAATGGCCGACTGAGGAATTCTGGGAGTTGAAGTCCACCAGTCATAAAAGGGCCAAGTTTGAAGACCCCTGGTCTAAGGGCTATTGCTTTCGGCCTCCGAAAGGTAAGCTTCACCCAATTCCTTGCCTCTGCAGGTGAATAATTTTTTGCCACGGGAATATTGGGAGAAGCTGAGAGCGGAGGCGGGCTGTAGCCCTTCCTTGATATCCAAGCAAGTCGTCTGGCCCCCAAGCCTGTTAATTCAGCTGGGTTTTCAGCTGATCGAACTGATGGTCCAAACTCTCAAGCTTGACCACAGCCTGCTGCCTTTGCTCCCCGAAGAAGCTGTCATTCCCGTTCTGTATCACGTCTATTCTTTCCGCGGAACCAAGCAGGTGAGCGGTGGAAAGAAGGGCTGGGGTGTGTGTGTGTAACATGATAGTCGTCTTCCAATACCTTAAGGGGCTGCCCCAAAGAAGATGGGGGGGGGGTCAGCCTATTCTCCAAAGCACCTGAAGGCAGGGCAAGAAGCAATGGGTGGAAACTAGTCAAGGAGAGAAGCAACCTGGAACTAAGGAGGAATTTTCCTGACAGGCAGAACAATTAACGAGTGGAATGGCTTCCCCTGAGAAGTTGCGGGCGCTCCATCACTGGAGGCTTTCAAAAAGAGACTGGACAGCCATTTGTCTGAGATGGTATAGGCCAGGGACAGGCAACCTTGGCTCTTTTATGACTCGTGGACTTCAATTCCCAGAATTCCTGAGCCGGCATGGCTCAGCTTGGAAACCTCTCCCTTTCCCCTCAGCGTGGCTGGCTCAGGAATTCTGGGAGTTGAAGTCCACGAGTCATACAAGAGCCAAGGTTGCCTACCCTTGGTAAAGGGTCTCCTACTTGAGGTGGGGGGTTGGACTACAACAGAGGTCCCCAACCTTTGAGGCGCCAGGGACCGGTTCCGTGGAGAGAGGGTTTTCCACGGACCGGAGGGTGCGTGGTTTTGTGTGCTGCTTGCATCCCGCAAATGGGGCTTTCCTTGTTTGTGCGGACCAGTTTCTGGCATACCGTGGCCCGGTACTGGTCCATGGACCGGGGGTTGGGGACCCCTGGACTAGAAGACCTCCAAGGTCCCCTCCAACTCAGTAAAGCAGGGGTCCCCAACCTGTGGGCCGTGGCTGCATGACTGACTGGCCAGTGTGCACGTGTGTATACGTGCACTCACGCCCCTGTGCTCGCGTTAGTGTCTCCGTGAGTGTCGCGCGGGCACCTGCAGCCCCGTTTGGAGCACGTGCGCTCGCAGCCCCATTCATGTCTGAGCCCGTGTGCGTAAAGGCACCTGCCCCTCCCTTTCCAGGCCGCCCACCCAGAAAGTTCGGGCAACTCTGCTGTAAAGAATTTCTGTGAAGCTGGTGAATTTGCCAAAGGTGGCCTGCCTTCCCTTTGTAACAGGGCCTGGGAGAGCCTGAAACGGTAACATGCTTTTTTACAGGTCGTCCTTGACTTACAACCACTTGTTCAGTGACCGTTCACAGTTACAACGACAGTGAAAAAAAGTGACTTATATCAGGGCTTTTCAACCTTTTCACCCATTGTACCACTTTTAGGATATGGCAACATCCGAGTACCACCAGTCACCTAGCAAGCAAGGTGTCAAAAACGTGATGACCCAAAATAAAAGGAAAAAAGTGATAAAGTACAGGTAGTCCTCGACTTACAATAGTTTGCTTAGTGACTGTTTGAAGTTACAACGGCACTGAAAAAAGTCCCCCCGAGCCACAGTCGAGCAAGACACCTGACTGCCCGCCCGGCGGCGCTCTTCCTCCTGTCCGAGGTTTTCATTCTTGTGAGCATTTCTGTTGAGGATTGGCAGCGGGGGTGAGGTGGGGGGTGTTTGGTTTTATTTCCCCCCCCCCCCCGTCTGCTGGGTGGTTGCAGCAGGTTTTGGTCACTTCACATGACCCTGGGACACTGTGACCGTCATAAATATGAATCAGTTGCCAAGCATCTGAATGTAAACCACAAGACCCTGGAGAGGCTGAAACATTCCAGCTGATCGGCGCTTCTTCTGGGCTCAGCAGAAGCACCAGGATTAGCGCCGAGCTCCAGCTGGAGCCTGGCACTGATCCTGGGGCTTCCACTGAGCCCAGACAGCCTTGAAGAAGCGCCAATCAGCTGGAAAGCGGCACTGATCCTGGCGCTTCTGCTCAGCCCTGACAGCCCTGCAGCTCCAGCCATCTCTCGCTCAGGCTTGTGTGGTGCTGCCACCGGTTCAGCTCATTCCCCTCCCCCGCTACCACTTTTCTAGGATGGTCGCGTACCACCCGCCAGGTGCCAATGTGCCACAGGTGGTACCCGTACCACTGGTTGAAAAGCCCTGGACTTAAATGCCCGGTTTTCACCCTTAACCACATTTGCAGCATCTCATGTGATCCAAATTTGGTCACTGACCTGGGAATGATTGTAAATCAAGGACGACCTGTCGTATTAAGGATGATAGCTGGTTTTTTTGTGGGTTTTCTTTTTTTTTTTTTTTTTGTATTTTAAAAATCCTCTCTCTTTTCCTTTTGCAGATCGGTTTCATTAAACCTCACTCTATCCTGATCCGGCTAATCCAGGAGGCTGTGGAGACGACCCTCACCTTCGACTCCTTTATCCTCCCCATGCAATGTCCCCCCGTGCCCTGGGTCTCTTCCCACTTCGGGGCCTACACTCTCTCTCCGGTCAAGCTGATGCGATGCCAAGACGGGGTGGTCCAGCACGAGCTTCTCTTAGACGAGTGCCCTCACGACCACCTCTGCTTGGTCCTGGATGCACTGAACTTTCTGGGCAACTGCCCTTGGAAAGTCAACCAACCCGTCTTGGACGTGGTCATCTCCATCTTCAACGACAAAGGCGACGAGAAACTGGACATCCCTCCGCCGCCATCTTGGGAGGCCCAAGAGCTCGCCAAGCAGCTGGCCGCGAGCGAGCCCATGTCCAAGATGGCTCTGAAATGGAAGATGTCCCAGTACCGTAAGAAGGCCAGGGAGACCTACAGCCTGCGGATGGACATGCTCTACAAGCTCTCCATCGCCAAGCACCTGAAAGACGAGGCTTTCTGGTTCCCCCACAATCTGGATTTCCGCGGGAGGACCTACCCGTGTCCTCCTCACTTCAACCACCTGGGGGGTGACTTCACGCGGGGGATTCTCCTCTTTGCGGAGGGAAAGCCCCTCGGACCACACGGCCTGAAATGGCTGAAGATCCATCTGGTCAACCTGACTGGGCTGAAGAAGAAGACGTCTCTGAGGGAGAGGCTCGACTACGCCATTCAGCTCATGCCGGACATCTTGGATTCAGCAGACAATCCATTAACGGTACGTCCGGTGGGGGGGTGCGAGGTTTTGGGAAAGCGTCGGCCGCCTTGGGCCCCTTGTGGGTTACAGGGTGGGCAGCTTGTGGCTGGCTGGGGGCCCTTGGTGAACATGTGTAGAGAGGAAAGTCAGTAGCGAATGGGGAAAGATGGCCGTGGTAAGGCTACGTAAACACAACTGGGATTGTAACATTTTTGTTTGTTTGTTTTTGGAGGCAGTTTGTGGGTCCTTCCTTTGATTTTCCTTCCTTCCCTCCCTCTCCTCTCCTCTCCTCTCCTCTCTCCTCTCCCCTTCCTTCCTTCCTTCCTTCCTTCCTTCCCTCTCTTCCTTTCTCTTCTCTTCTCTTCTCTTCTCTCCTCTCGTCTCCTCTCCTCCTCTCCGCTCCTCTCCTCTCCTCTCTCCTCTCCCCTTCCTTCCTTCCTTCCTTCTCTTCCTTTCTCTTCTCTTCTCTCGTCTCCTCTCCCCTCCCTTCCTTCCTTCCTTACTTACCTTCCTTTCTCTTCTCTTCTCTTTTCTTTTCTTCTCTTCTCTTCTCTTCTGGCTGAGGAATTCTGGGAGTTGAAGTCCACAAGTCTTAAAGTTGCCCAAGTTTGAAGACCCCTGTTATAGAGCAATGTTTCTCAAACTTCACAGTTTGAAGCTGTGTGGACTTCAATTCCCAGAATTCTCCAGCCAGCATGCTTTAAAAGATGTGACCTTCATACGCAGCTTGAGGAATTCTGGGAATTGGAAGTCCACACATCTTCAGGTTGCCAAATTTGAGAAATCCTGATATAGGTAGTCCTCAACTTACAACCATTCTTTTAGTGACAGTTTGAAGTTACAGCGGCACTGAAAAAGTAACCTAGGACCATTTTTCACACTTAACGACCGTTGAAGCCTCCTCATGGTCACGTGATTAAAATTCAGGCACTTGGCAGCTGGCCTGTATTTATGACAATTGCCCTGTCCTGAGGTCATGTGATCACCATCTGTAACCCTCCCAGCAAAGTCAACAGGGGAAGGCAGATTCGCTTAACAACCGCATGATTCACTTACCTGCAGTGATTCCCTTAACAACTATGGAAAAAAAAGGTCATAAAATACGGCGTAACTCACTTAACACCTGCTTTGCTTAGCAACAGAAATTTTGGACTCAATTGTGACAATTGTGATAAAGTCGAGGATTACCTGTAGTTTATTCGGATGCATATGAATGTCTTTTTCTTTCTTTCTTTCTTTCTTTCTTTCTTTCTTTCTTTCTTTCTTTCTTTCTTTCTTTCTTTCTTCTTCTTCTTCTTCTTCTTCTTCTTCTTCTTCTTCTTCTTATTATTATTATTATTATTATTATTATTATTATTATTATTATTATTATTATTATTATTATGATAGTGTAAATGGCCCATCGACCCATTGTCAGCCAATGATGGATGGTGGTGTGGAGATGATGTGATGCCCTGTTACTTTTCCATTGCCATTTTCCAGCTTCTTTTTAATAATAATAATAATAATAATAATAATAATAATAATAATAATAATAATAATAATAATAATAGCCTGTGTCCGAAAAGTCGTGGGAAAACAGGGTGGAAAAAGTTGTTGAGAATGAGAGGGTGAAGATCTGGTGGGACTTTCGAATACAGACAGATCGCCATTTGGAACACAACACGCCGGATATCGCAGTTGTAGAGACCCAAAGCGTACAGCTGATTGATATCGCTGTACCAGGAGATGCCAGAGTCGAAGAAAAAGAACTGGAAAAAAATTACGAACTATCGTGACCTGGCCATCGAAACTGCGCGATTATGGATGAAACGTGTAACAGTGATACCCATTGTCATCGGGGCACTGGGAACTATGTCCAAAAACTTTGCAAAATACATCAAGAAACTGCAGCTTCCTGCAATAACTCCAGCAATGTTACAAAAAACTGCGCTACTCGGAACATCTTACATTTTAAGGAGGTACCTGGTTGATACCTAGGATGCTGGCAGCAACCCGTGTCAACCATCAGCACCAGCCAATTTGAATGTTCAGTTGACTGAGATTCACGTCTAATGAATAATAATAATAACAAGGGTAGTACCAATAGTCATAGGCGCCTTGGGTGCAATCCCAAAACAACTGGAGCACCACTTGAACACCATTGGCATTGACAAATTTGCCATTAGTCAATTGCAAAAGGCGGCCTTACTAGGAACTGCTTCCATCCTGCGACGATATCTGTAATACCATCAAACATCCACATCTGCCTATCCCAGATCCTTAGGAAGGACTCGACAGGTAGACAAAATGCCAAATCCAATCTGAACATCTGGCTAACTGTGCGATGATCCATAATAATAATAATAATAATAATAATAATAATAATAATAATAATAATAATAATAATTTGGAAGGGACCTTGGAGGTCATCTAGTCCAACCCCCTGCTCAGGCAGGAAACCCTGTACTATTTCGGACAAATGGCTGTCCAGTCTCTTCTTAAAAACTTCCAGTGTTGGCGCATTCACTTCTTCTGGAGGCAGGTTTTCCTTGAAGTCTCGTGGCTAATGGCTAGTATGTGCTTGATTCTTCCCCGGAGTCATATTTTAAATTTGGTTTTCTTTCCTCCGGTGCAGGGCAAGAGGTGGTGGATGGACACCGATGAGCCGTGGCAAGTTTTGGCGTGTTGCATGGAGATCGCAAAGGCTGTGCGGTCTCCCAATCCTGCCGAATACGTCTCCCATTTTCCTGTTCATCAGGTAGAGCCTTATGGTGCTTGGAGGTCCTTTCCGCTTTGTTTTATAATGGGGTGGGGGTGGGCGGGCGAGGGATGACGTGTGAACCTCATGGGGCTTTGAGGCAGCACCCCGATTTCTTTGTTTTTATTTATTAAATTTGTTTGCCACCCATCTCGCCTACAAGGCGTG